TTCTCGACTTTTCCCAAGCAGTCCTCGCGCTATCGCACCGGATAATGACGACATCTTACTTAACCAGACAGAAGTTGTCAGGGTTAAAAATGACGGTTCGTTTACCGACCAGTGCAGAATTTAATTCGTCAGATGTGCTCAAGTTGTGTGGAACCCCACCCGCACTGACATCAGCCGCTTTCATGGGGATGGTCAGCTTTCCTTCGCCTTGCTCAGTTGTCCCACAGACCGCTGCGCTATAGGCCAAGGAGTTAGAACGGTCCCATTAACAGCGTTGCATTGAATTATTTACACGGGATCAACTTTCATTTCAGCCAAGTTCAAAATTCTTTGAGATTTCAACGGCTAATCCAAATTGTGAAGTATCACAAGGATCGAATTTACCGACACAATTTGATCGATTGAACAAGTGTCGTCGGGTTACTATGCTGCGAACAGTGAGACCGTGAGGTTTATCAGCTATCTTTCATTTGCTTTATTTGTCCTTCTCTTGCTCTTCTATCTTACAAAATTCTCGTAAATACTTCTTGATGAAGTGAATTCCTATCCATTTATACTTCTAGTCTCAAGTTATGCATTTCTTTAATCCTAATTTGAACAGTGTATCGAGTGTTAAAGTTATTTTTGCCATAAGCATTCATACTTTACAAATGACATTTTTTATAGGCATTGAGACTTAGTTATTCCACTTTCCTTGATATCAAAACAATAATTGTTTTTTTAAGTGATTGGTCGAAAAAAGCTATTTTTAGTGTTTTTATTAGGATACACTTACTCTGGACTTCCTCCTAGGTTCCACTGCAGAAATAACCAACTTTGTGCTCACATAATGACACGGAGCATGGAAAGCATTTCTGAAGTGCTTTGACAACTGTAGACGGTTGGGAACAATCATAAACTGAATACAACTACAGTGAGACCCTAGAATGTGAAATTGGTGCCTGGATTTAAAACAATTTAAGATTAGATTATTGGAAAGTCCTTTTCTAGGCATATTTGTCCCAAATTTAAGCGTCGGTTTAAAGCAAAAAGTCTTAGTGACTGTTTCTTTTATCAAACGACGATGCTTAGGTTAATAAACGATTGTTAATCAATCGAGGGAATTATTTTGAAATGGCGAAAGACAAAGACGGCAATATTGCAGCACCTTCTTAAATCGAGGGTCACTATAAATTAAGGCTGTTATATCCTGATTCTCCGCAAGACTGAGAGAAGGCCAATTTGAGAGCCTAAGATAAATTTGTTTAATGACCGTTTCTGGATTTCTCAAAAAAATCTTCGTTGAAGTAGACGTAAGAAGAGTAGAATGTTTGTAAGTTTCTCAATGCTGCGTGTAATGTATATTACCCACTTTAAAATGCTTTCCGGAACGACATTGTCAAGTTAATTAGTAATCTTGTCAAACAAAATTTCAGAAACAAATTTGCAAAAAAACTAGGAAATTTGTGCCAAAATTTTAAAGTACTCTACCAAACTGCTAATCAATCAATAAGTTTTGATTAACGAAACAACTTGATTTTTTCGAAAATTCAAGGTATGGTTAAAAAAGGAGCCTTTAAAGGCACTTTAAATTAACTTTACTCAACACAAATTTATTTTGGATGTTGACTCACAAAAGGCGAGCGTGTTAGGCGATTTGTGTGTTTTCGACGTAGTAATGGGAATTTATTTGAATCACGGTGGATCCGTTGGTGAATTTAATGTTTTACATTATCAAATAATAGGTATGAATGTAAGCACGAACCGAAAATGTAAGCACGTGGAAAGATTTACGACATCTAAATTAAGAGCCACGAATCGTTGCATCTTAAACTTGAGTTTAAATTAAATTATACCATGTTAAAAGACCATACCTTCAACGAATTTCAGAGTCGATGGATCAACCACTGAGTACTTTCTGACGTCCTGAATCGAGAGGATGCTCCTTCGAAATTCTGTGTCTGTCTTCTTTCGAAGACCAGGCTTCTTCAACATCCCTCGCTTTGGAAAATTCTCTTCAAGTTGATTAGATGGCACACGTAAAAATTCCCTACTGTGATCGTGACTGCCTAATTGATGCCTATATTTAGACAAACGTTCCTTTGACATCGATGAGGATGGACCCGAAACTCTTTCACGATAATTCTGGCTATGGACTAGGTTTGTGCAAAGGTTGTCAGTTGTGGGCTGTGAAGAAATAGAACCCGACCGGAATTTGTGCGGTGAAGAAACAGGTGTCACCTGTGAATATGGCTTTGTAATAGCTGGAAAAACGAAGCATTCCTCGTCTTCATCCATTATATGTGCATAAAAGTCCGTCGGGTGAGCCCAGGACGCATTCGTTGTCCGGAAATATTAACAATCCCCTCCGAAACCCTTGACCAATCAGAAAACAGAACGCACTTGAGCGAAAGATCGTTGCAAAATCCGGAGTTTTCGGTAATTCTTAAAGCGGATCATTCAAATTATGTTAAAAAATTCAAAAATATGCGAAATATCTAAATAACTTATCCAACTTATAAATATTTGGAGTTGAATAAATGGCAGCCAATACATTAAAATACAATTAGTTTTCTTTATAAGATAAGGGCAATTTTAAAAATATATCCGAATTTTTATGCTCACAAAAACGATTCCTTTACATAGAATTCATGCGTACATAGCTAGGCTTTGCCACTGAATAGGAGGATCTCTGTAGTTCATGGGCTTCCAAGCCTAATTCCGTTTCCACCTAAGGTATATGTAACCACGTAAATTTATTTTTTCTAAGCTTTTAAATTTTATATCAGTGCACCCAATACTAAAAAACTTTTATAGAATTGCATTTTAAAATTTATTTTAATTAATCAAATTGTTTGAATGCACTACTTTCGGTTGCAATCAGTCTAGTTTCGGGGAATCTCTTGGCTTCACGCTGGGTGTATATACTGTATATAGATGTAAGCGGAGTCACTTTCCTAATCTGCTCTTGTTTGTACAATGTAAGGGCAAATATACGTTCAGGGCGCAGATTTCGTAAAGATATTACACTAGGTGCCTGAAATCTCTGTATCCGTGAAGGGGTCACTTTCCAGGAGCGCATCACCATCTTGGTGGCTCCTTAGATGCATTTTTTTGCAGTAAATCGTTGTTTCGTGTAGTTCGCCGTGGTTTCATCCGGGTTGTCGGTTTCCTTATTAGGTTCTTATATAACTCCTGATATACTGGGTTACATAACTCCTCGTTACCTGCTTTATGTTAAATTAGCCTCTTTTTTACTTCAGCCTTCCCTGTCAGGCTGTATAGCCTTTGTACATATATTGTAATTAACTGAACTCTTCTGTGAGAGTCAATGACTTCAAGTGAACAAACAAAAGCAGTTGCACCCGATTTGACTGTCGATCAAATGTTAATTGGTACTGCGCCTCCTGGTTTTCAAACAGATGTCAACAATCTTATCTCAAATCGTGTACATGTTGCCGAAAATACGTACCCATCTCAATGGGCTCCGTCTCTCGTAAGTTTATCGTCATTTTACTATTGCTTGACTTTCTGGGAATGTTTCTTAGAATGTTAATCTAAGCTTTTGTAAAATGCGATTTTGCTTGGAGTCAAAGGTATCTATCGATGTCATCTTGAGTTGCGTGTCTTAGCACACTACAATAATGTCGTTTGCATGAAAACTAAGTCATTTCTTTGTATATCCTTTAATATATCTGTATTGGCCTGTTTCAGGATAATCAAGGCGGAGCGCTTAGTTCCGACCGTGGTACTCCTCATCTCCCGGACGGCTTTGATTTGACCGACGATGATGGTGCGGATCTTACAATTGGTGGAACTGGTGTTCGCGGCCTGGGTGATCATGGGTCGACTGAGTCAGGTAATGAGGTGGCTGCTGCTGCTGCCTTGGCTCACCACTTTCGGGGCTTATCTGTTTTTGATGCATCTCGAACAAACCACATCTGGGCTGTTGGTGCGGAACGTAAAAGTCAAAATTCGGGAGATGAGTTTAATACAAGCTCTGGCGATGTCACAAATATCTCCATTACTTCAATGAGCTCTGTTACTCCTGCACAAATTGGCAGTATTGCTTCCCCACAAACATGTGCTGAAGGCTCTAACGAAAGTGGAATATTATCTGCCTCCGCAACGGGACCTATGCCCGGAATTGACATCCATTCTCTGTGGGCATCAAGGGGACAGCCTCGACGCACATGGATTACTGATCGTCTGTTTGGTTCGGAAGATAGTACTGATCCTCAAAAAAGGGGTAGAAACGGAGATGAAAGCCAGTCACTAGATGAGGCTGCTCCTGGTAAGCTGTCTGACATCAATGGAAGTGCCTGGGAGTGGGGAGAGTCACTACTTAATGTAAGCCTATTTTCTGGGTCTACATTTTTTTCTGACCACATTCTTATTATCTCAAATCGTTGGCCCTTCAGACTTCTTCATGGCGTGCACTTTATGACAACAGCACTACGGAAACGAGGTCGTTCAGTCAAGTTGTTGCTGATGATGTTCACCAGTCTGCACCGTCATCTGTATTTCCTGGTCTCTGGGCGCCAAAGGTTGACACCAATAATTTCTCTCTGCCACCACAAATGAATATGAGTTCAAGTTCTCATGATGGCACCGCGGATTTCGCCGTTGGTGAAGGCGTCTTCACAACTGCTTCAAGTGCAGTGCCACCTAGTGACATTGATGGGAGTGGTAGGGCTGGGCTTTACGGTTCCTTATTTGAGAAGAAATACGGTGTCGGTGCAAGCAATGTGTTTGGTGTGCCACTTGGTCAGTCGTTTTTACCGTTTGATACGACCAATGGAAAGGTAATTTTTCATGATGCTCTGCTCTGTTTAAATTGTCCCTTTTTTCTGTACATGGTACGCATCCTGAGGCATCAGGGGTGGTTTATATAGTAATAACTACAGGGTAATGACCACAAACCTTATTTTGCAATAGCCCACCTTTGGATGTAATAGTTCACTGGCGCCACCGTCGACGGGGCTGTCGCCAGTCAGGAACCTCTCAGGTTCGACAACGCCAACCACTACACCGGCAGTCACAAGTAGCAATAACGAGGCCTCACCGGAACCAATCTCAACAGTTCCGCCGACTCATCGCCCCACACAGCCGTCGTCAATGTGTCCGTCTATGCCTCTTCCACCCCAGGTGGATCCAATGTCAATGGCCATGGCCATGTCTATGTTCATGCAGCCTCAAACCGCCGCCACTCCGGCACCGCCCCCACCACATTCGAACTCGAGTGTTCCGACACCACCAAGTAAGATCTTTGCTCCTCTGCTGTCTCCACTGTTTCATAGTTAGTCCGTTTTTTATTGACGCAAGTTTTTGGTGTACCATGCTTCGTTATGTAGTTTTTCAGGTGATCCCTAAATAATGCATTTCAGTTAATTTGAGTTGTACCATTGTGTCTGCAATATGTTGTTTGGTTTCGCTACGAAGCAAAACCGTTTATCTCTTCCCCTATCTATCTAACCATCATGAGGTGCTTTCTTTGTTTTAAAGATGCTTGGAACCCATTGGTTTTCAATATGCTTATGCAACAACTAGCCTCAGCTGCCCAGAATCCCGCTGCGGCGGCTGCATTGGCTGCTGCGACCGTTTTTCCACCAGCCTTGCCACCACCACCACCTCATCCCCCATCGCAGGCCGTACCTAACACTCAACCTCAGGCACAACCCCAGACTCAGCCGCCGGCTGACCTATCAGCTGATCAGACCCGTCTTGCAGCTTGTGTGTTTTTTCAAATGCATCAGCAAATGCTTCTCAACCAACAACAACAACAACAGCCGCCTACTTCACCAAGTCAGCAACAACAGCAATTTGCTCAACTAGCACTTCAAGCCGCTACAGCCGCAGGAGTGAGAGGGGCCGGCACTGCTGGACAAGTCAGTGGAGCACTGCCAGCACAACAAGCTGCGATTACGCCATATGGGCTTCCTCAGGTGACCATCAAATTATTGCTATATGTCCAGTTATATCAAGCAGTGTTTTGTGAGTGATGGTGGGGGCAAAACGGTCACATTCCAGACCGTCATCTGGTTTTTTTGTATTACAGATGGGGATGCTTCAACCTACGGGCCCTCCGCCGCACACCGGCGGCTCTCCGCTATTTCCTCCAGGTGCCAACGTTTCACCAACGGCTGGAGGCCCAAGCGTTCCCTCCGCACCCGCGCCACCACCGGGGTTCGCTCGCGTTGTTGCCGCTGCTGCGAAAAATTTCAGTTCGGGCGCATCGAGTTACTCCGGTATCGAGAGTATGTTCTACTGCTTTATATCTACTAAATGAATCCGCGTTTTTTAGTCACCACCCTTCCAGAATTTACTCCGATCAGAAGTCACACTTTTTTATACTTTGATGTATCTTCAAGTCGTAAATTTAATATTGTTTATTAGAAGCCTACAAACAATGCTTAATGCGTTTACTTTTGTGTTAATTCCAATTTTAGCTTTATTGTCTTCAGCCATTCAGCGGCTTCGTAACTCGTTACAATTTTGAAATCTCGTGTTGGTTTTTACATATTTCAAAATGCACCTGTCTTACAGCGAACAACGGCTCAAACACTTTTGCAAATGAGTACCATTTCATGTGGTTAACGGAGTTAATTTGATTAAGGCCAAGTCTACGCTCAAGAGACTGCACTTTGTGAGTCAGTTGCTTTCACACAGTTGTGTTCGCATTTTTGCTGCCCAACCAATCTATTCCTTTTCCTGATAATTACAGTATGTAGGCATCGCACTGTGCAATGGTATAACCCTTTTTAGTATTGAAAAAACCACTTACATTGGCTAGTGGTTTTCTGATTGTAACAAGCGTTCACTTTCAACCATAAGTTTGAGTAGGCGAGTGGTTTTGTTCCCTCATTTAGTATATCCAACCTCCACATGGTCTAGCTGGTTCCTCGTGTTGATCTACCAAAATAAATTTCTGATGAAGCTCTAGTTTTTGAATTACGAGGGACTACAATAGCAGTCAGCCTTTCTTCTCTTCACGATTTTAACTAGGTTTCGGTTTTTCCGCCGCATTTTTCTCTGATCTTGCTTTGCCCTGCTTCTAGATGGCCCATCTTCGGTGCCTGGCAGTACGGGAGGGCCGGTTAGTAGAAGTCAGTTACTGGAGGAATTTCGAAATTCAACGGCTCGTTTCCAGCACATTCAGCTCTCTGAACTTCGTGACCACATTGTAGAATTTGCACGTGATCAGCACGGCTCGCGGTTCATTCAACAAAAACTCGAATCGGCCACTGTTGAGGAGAAAAATATTGTTTTTGATGAAATTCTTCCCCAGGCTGGCAAACTCATGGTCGACGTATTTGGTAATTATGTAATACAGAAGTTCTTCGAATTCGGAACTGATGGTCAAAAAGATGTGAGTTCGAAAGTAACCGTCTAGTTATATTATTCATATTAACTGTGTGTGTACCCTAGCTTTGCATAAACTCCTAGCTTCATAAATTTAAAGCCATCAATGACTAGCTGACTCAGTTCCAGTGCATTCTTACGATTTTTAATTAGCGTTGCATGCAATCTTCATTAATTATTTAATAAAACACATCGTCTCAAATATTTTCGTTAACATTCAGTGCTGTGCATAAGAAGTCTAAAAGCTTTGGGCCCAATTTGCTTGTTAGACCCAATTCATTCTGAAAAGTCGACTCATTGTACCTCTATCCTCACAGCTCCTGTCACAATGTCTGCATGGTCATGTTGTGGAATTCGCGGTTCAGATGTACGGTTGTCGAGTGATTCAAAAGGCTCTAGAGTCAGTTCCACTGGAGTCGAAGATTCGCATAATCAGCGAGCTTCGCCCCCATGTGATGCGTTGTGTGAAGGATCAGAACGGCAATCATGTGATCCAAAAGTGTATCGAATGTGTTCCCTCGGCAGAGTTGGACTTTATCATTACAACGTTTCGTAATCAGGTGAGAATACTGGTGTTTTAATTCCTGCTTATCCAAGTTATGTAGTACACTTTATACGCACCTTATTGAATCGAAAACTAATTAGCAATCTTAATATTAACAAGTTGTAAAACGCCACCTTCCTGACTTTCTGACCTCGAATTATAATTTCCCTTGTTAAATTCTGCCATTGCCGCTTGGTTATTACCTCAATTCTTGTTCCCCTTCGTCGAATTCCCCAGTTCGAATTCCTACTGTTAGTTTCATTATCTTCACTAAATGCTCCCATTTTAGCGGATGCTGCGACCTAAAGCCTTATTTCCCGTTCTGATTCGATTGTCAGATGCTAAAATTGGATGCGGTGGTGTGGGCACGAAAGGATGAAGGAAACGCGTTTTACTTCAAGTAAAATTTCAGCTTACAGGCGTTCTTTGTGCCTAGATAAGAGCAACTGCCGCCCTCTTCCTCGCACTCGTCCCATCACTCTAAGTGGTCGTTGCGCCTTATTCTCATTGCACATTGATTTTTTTTCTTCAAATCTAACTAACTTGGTAACGCTGGCTTTTTCTTAATGTATAGACCACTTCTCTTCCTATACATACATGCGCGTCGTCCATTGGGGAAGGTCAATGTTCTTGATATTCCCCTCCACTTCCTTTTTGCCCTTTGACATATTCGTTGGTCTGTCCCTGTTGGTTTGTGATTAGGTCTAATGCAAATTTAAAATTATCTCCCTGGATCTCTTGAGTAGCCGTGACGCAGTGTTCGGGGCGCTCCCTGTTTACATCCCAATTCCTCGCAGTGACCACAAATAATAGACAAGACACCGGCTACGTTGGGTGTGCCATTTTGATACCCGACCACTGGCCAAATCCTAACCGCAACCTCTTCTCTATCACACCTATTCAGCGTACTCTAGTTTTATTTTTGTAACTAGATAATGTTTGGATTCACGCCTGCTGGTATTACCATTCATCACGTTGGTCAGTTGTCATCCCGTGTGCGAAAGTGCGCAAACGTTTGCGGTGTAAGCAAGTGTTAATCGGCCATGCCGCGGTAACTAGTTCCGTGGGTTATCGGTCTCGTATCGTTGCGTACATGTGCGTTTTCGTGGTAAACGTTATTTTCAACTAGTTCGTACTCATTCTACTTCCGTATTCCGTTCATCTCTGTGGCCGAACACTTTTTATATGGGTGAAAGTTGTTCCGTAAGATACGGTTTTTATTTTATTTAAATTGGTATCATCGTCACTTTCATGCTAAAGGGCCTATTTTTTCTACGCACAACGTGCCAATGGCTTGATAGTTACCATGGTTATTTTCTATTGATAACTTTTGCAAAATCTTAGGTTTTAACATTTAAAATCCGGTTCGGTGATTCCACTTTTTTATTTCTAAAAGCTTTTTGGTCTAAATAACACAATGACATTGAATGAGCTGTGCTAGTGAAGTCGTTATTCAGGTCTTGACCATAATCGACTGCAGATCGACTTTAGCATAGTAATAGTGGACAGCCATGTGATTACCATTAGTGGTAATAGTTTATCACTTCATTTTGCATAGAGCCTTGGAGACTTGGAATCCATTGACACTTTCTTCTGTAATATATCTATTCCTAACGAATGTCAAACTCTGATTAAGATGACTTACTTAAACGTTCTAACCGATCTTATAGTCCTGGAAGTTCACTATTACGAAACTCCATCATGCAACGTACGTAACCGAAACTTGATGCAAAACCTGATGTTTTGTGAGCTTGTTTTCTTGCTTTCTAATTCAAAGGTATCGGATAAATTAAATTTCAGTGTCACTTTCGCAAATCGGATGTTCGCTCTGGTTCACTATGTTGTTGCAAACGACTCGGGTCCATATAATTTGCACTGCCATATACGGGCCAAAATTATATCTGGGTGTTCTTAAACGTTGTGCCATCTTCTGCCCCTCCCCTCTTTACGAATGGCAACCATTTTTTTCTGTTTTCAGTCTTTAAAAAGGTTAAAGAAACTTCTTATCTACGTTATGGAGTTTATTTTTCCCCCTTTTTTTCAGGTCTTCGCGCTATCATCTCATCCCTATGGCTGTAGAGTGATCCAACGCATTCTAGAACACTGTTCAGCTGAACAGACGCGCCGAATTCTAGATGAACTCCACAAAGGCGTTGACAACCTTGTCAAAGACCAGTATGGAAATTACGTTGTCCAGGTAGGAATCCGCATAATTCCCATTAGTCTCGCTTGTTTTAAATTGTGTCTTTTCATGTCTTTCTTTTTTCTGGGTCCTTTCTGCTTCGTGCTCGCTAATCTGGTGCGGCTAGAGTAGGCATCTGTAGATTTTGCTAATAATTCACGCCTTATATTGCTCTAATACTACCGCCTTTCTTTTTCATGTCTTCTTCAACGGAAACATTTAACGTAATCAGCACGTTCTGGAACACGGATCGCAGGAGGACAAGTCGCGTATAATCAATAGCCTTCGAGGACGTGTGGCCGGTCTCTCAGCTCACAAATTCGCATCTAACGTGATGGAAAAGGCCATCGCCAACGCTACCCCGATCGAACGTTCCTCTCTCATAAACGAGGTCTTGGTATCCACCGACGGCACTGACAACGGACCTGGCAGTGGTGGTGCTCTTGTCGAAATGATGAAAGACCAGTACGCCAACTATGTGGTTCAGCGCATGCTCGAACTCGCTGACAAGCAGCAGCGTAATTGCCTTATTACCCGTATCCGTCCCCTCGTTGGTACTCTGCGCAAGTATAACTACGGGAAACATATCATCACGAAGCTGGAGAAGTACAGTGGATGTAGCGGAAGTGCTTGCACTGGCGGAAGCGGAAAAATGGGCCTCGTTCCCGCCACCACTGCATCCAATGACCACGTCAAGTCTGCTTAGATCCTCCCCATACACATCATCCGAACAATTTAAATTGCGTTACTTTTGGTTATCCTGTTTCCCACGTGCGCGATCGGTGTGTATGTGTGTGTGTCTGTCCGTGTATAGTTGAGCTAGCGTCGCACCCCAACTTCATTAATTCACCATCTCAGTCAACCCACCCATATACATATTGTAAATTTGCCTCCAAGCACGGAAGGTTAAACCACGCGGGAAGAATTTGTATAGCCTGTGCGTGCGTGGCTTGTATTATTACCAATGCCCTTAACCACTATCGACCTTCCCTCCACTTTGGCCCATAATTAGTTTCGTTGATTTCCTCTTGATCCCGCATGCACATATGTTTCGCCACCCGTATCTCGTCTCCCTCTCACCCAACTGAGCGCTTGTAAAAATACCAATATCCACACAATGAACATTCTTTTGCTCCGATCTCTCACCTTTCCCGTTCTCAAATGTTACAAGGAGTAACGGGCTCACCCGACCTGCAGAACGTGAATCTATATGTTGGTTTCCAACAGGCATGGGTCTAGTGTACATTTTCATTTAAATGTAGATAAAACTTGCTCTTCCCCAAACCCTCCTCATTCTAGCTCATTCTACATTATTTGCCTTTCAGGAAAAATGACTCCTTTCAGAGCGAGTGGGCTCTTGTGGTTTATGCCTTTTAACAGGAACGGTTTTAGTTTTTGACCAAAACTAGTGTAATTCAGTAAGCTTGCGTGAATTGGACTGTTGTCTTGGTAAATACGGTTATTTCATTAGCAAATTTAGCATGTCGCTGTGTGTACCCCCTTATCACAGTTTATAGAGTCCATTAGTAGCTAGGTCATAAGCCAAATTGACACGTGCCACGCTTGGGTCTCCATTTTTGTCGCAAATATTGGATGGGCATCAGTTCTTTTAAACGTCCCCGGAACAATCAACAGTAATGCAAAGTAATTGCCATCTTTTTGTGCGACTAAACGATAGGTAGATTCATGTAATTAGCATAAATCTAGCGGGACAATATCCACGTTGGGTTAACATACCACCGCTCAAATCTAAAGGTGACAGCCGGGAAATGCGAGATGTAAGTCTATTTTTTACGCAGATAACATGTTTTAATCACCTTTGCTTGGTAAGTCGTTTTGGTACGTTTTTCACATACCACACAAAGTGTCGTAGATGTTTGACCAGCCACCGTCTGACAGGATGTCGTCTGTGCCTGAACGCATTTGCGGCGCCTATCCTGCTGCGATGCATGAAGGGTGGTTACCTTTCCCGACTATGAAACGCGACCTGCAGGTTGAAACTCGGTGTTTCGTCCAACAACCTGTTTGATTTCGCCACTCTAAGTCGTTTATTGTCACCACGGAATAGGCGCAATGAACTGATCGCAAAACTAGTTCCCAAAGTGCCCCATTCGGATCCCTAATAATTACGTCTCGCGTTGAGGCTAAACCATACGTCAGCCTGCGAATTGGATGTGTATTTATCAATACCAACTTGAAAATTTGAAAGTTGTTTCTGTAAAGACGTCGCGCAAGGAATTGCAGACACTCACACTGTTCGCAAATACATTTGTCAGGTCGCGATAGTCACATTGGGAGAGAGGCAGACGTTTTTCTCATGTTCGTTAAAGCCCAACAAGTGCATGAAAACAATGAAGGTACTATTTTCAGTAACGGGCGCCCGAGACTCGCATTATTAGCGACTTCTTTGCAATATTTTCTGGAAAAACTCATTAGATTAGCGAAATGAAATATTTTACCTCAAAATTAATGTCTTATGTTGCTCAACCTAGGACTGGTTTTCTAATTTTTGGAGTCACAGTGGCAATAAGGTAAAAGTTGTGATCTGTCTGAAGGATCCATGCATGAACAAATGGTCAGAGGTAGGGTTGACTTGAATTACTGAATTTGATAGAAAATTCTGTGAAAAATTATTGGTTTCTGCTTGACATTTAAGGTGGTTCTAAAGGCATTAAGGTAGCATAGCAAGACTTGAACTACTAGCATGGTATTTTGTTTATGTTTATGTTCTTGAGGATACCGTAGAATGCAGGCACTGCTAATTGTTAAAAACAGACGCTATCACAACTGCACCTGCACGAATCCAAAAATCATCGAGAAATGTCTTTCATTTCCTTGCATTACGATACACACGCAACACTAACTGATTCTCAAGCTGGCCGACTGCTCTCTCCTTCAAGCACTGTAGTAGACAGCTTTGGATGAAAAAGTGGCTCGTTTAGCACCAAAGCACTCAATTAAAGGAGTGCACTTTTGGTGCCATATAATTGGTTTTCTCTGATCCTACACTTTTGTTATGAAAACCGCTAGAAATTTCACAGGACTCAGGCACTCACTTTACAGGCAAAGTAAACTGTGTTTAAAATAACCCATAGCAGCGGGCGATCCATTCTGCCACCTAGCCTAGCAAAACGACCAGTCCAACTGGCGATTTTGGCACTATGGAGAGGCCTCAAGTTTGACTAACGTGCAAAATCACCGTGCAGGAATGCCCCCCAAATAGGCTACGCTGTCAACGATTTATTCCATTTGCTTGGTCAGAATGCTTAAAATTAACCCCGAAAGCAACAACTATCCTGAAGGAAATGAACGCCTGACCTCAAAGGAATGATTCACTGCCACGGCCCCGACTTAAGGCGAATGCAGCGCTTAAACGGTGGAAAACGGTTACGGTCAAAAAGTTAGACAGCATATTTTACGTCATCAAATGGTCTTTCGTTTTGCGACGTAATATCAGTCCATGCCCATCACCTTTACTACCGCTCACACACCGTTGAGACCCTGTCTGCTGTTCAGTAAATGTAGTTTCCAAGAAAATACGAAGATGAAGCAGCTGGAATCGCGCAAACGCTTGTACGAGGTAAAAATATAACTGGAATGAATGTCAAACTGATATCTGCCTTGAATGGTTTGCATGTTCCCTCAGACAAATTCCCTTAATATTGCTTTGTCTTTATCACACAAAATACCGATTAAACAAGTGATGGCATAAAAGTAATGCCAAACCGAACTAATTCTCTTAAAGAAGCACCGATGTAAAGCTGTGACGCGGACCCACGTAGAACTAGGAGAACAAGGTAGACGCAAGGAAATGATCCGAACAAGAACTGGATGCCAGGAGGTAATTTTCTATGTGACAGTAAGTGGAAATAATGACACAAACTAGGAAATTTAAAATCATCAGTGGCTACTTGAATTGCCAATTTATCTTATTGTGATGCGTCAAAATGACTCCAGAGTAGTCCATTACTGAAAATGGGTGTTTTGTACAGTTAATCACTAGTAGGGGCCAAACAGGAATAGTGAGAGGGCATTATGTCGGCATTTCACGACAATCTTCGAGGTGTTGCAGCACTAATAAGGGTTCGAGGTAGAAAACCGCAAGTGACTTTGCATTACTGTGGCTGAAAATAACGTGACCACAATTTGCCTTTTAAATAAATTCCTAAAATTTTAGGAAACGGACGTTGTGCCTCCATCGTTCAACTTTCAAACTAACCTTCTAGAGCTTATATTAGGGACAACTTCGCAATAAATACACAATAGGTACTCGCAAATACATCCCCAGATTTGTGGATTTTGAGATGCTGTTTAAAATTTCCTTGGGACCGGCGACTAAGCGATACTTTTAGTTGACTGTCTTCAAACTGGCAGTGTTAAGGCGATGAGTGAACTGCTTCTTAACATTAATGCACCTGCTACGAGGTAACTGACTCGCAAACCTGATCAAATTTAAAAAAGCCAAAATCAAACAGCACTCATCAACCAATCAATGTCTACTGATTTGTATCAATGACAAAATATGAATTTGTAGATTTCTGAAAGCAATATCAATGGGCGATATCAACTAGGAAAATTTACACTAGATGCTCCTGAAATTTCACACGCGCCTTTACCGGAGTCCGCATTGCCAGTATTGTAAATGAGCAAACAAATGACGTCGACCAGATCTTTAAAAATATACCATTTATAGAACTGGAAACGGTTACACACAAACGCGCCGAATGGACAAAGCTTTTCTTCAAAACAAGATAGACAAAGGAAAGCTTGTAAATAAATTAACGACATACAAATTTACGAAAAATACACAAATCAGCCAACTTGACAAGCGTTAACGAGACAGAGAACGCCTAACAGCGACGAGGCCACCTTTTGCGGAATGCTGGCGTTTTTTGGAACGATGGTGGCGACGCTTAAAAATGTCGGTAAAGCGGTCGATCAGACGAGCAGGTGATTGGCCCCGGGAGAGATTTCCATGTGATTGGTCTATTCTACACTGGAGATGTGCGTAGTACTTCTTCGCCGTCTGATTATCACCAAATCGCAGCCAAAACACATCGGGGTGTGTCTGCTCAAACTAAAACAGGTGAGCAAAGCTGTAACTTTCACCGAAGCTCACATCATCAAGAGGAAAATGAGTTTCGTGCAAAGGCGCTAAAAGTGAATGCTTGCTTAGCTGATTAACTAGTTGGTGATACAATGTCAAATTCACTTGATTAATCTCGATAACAGAAAAGCATGAAGAAACGAAATTCTTTTTCTCAGTCGCCAACAAACAGCAGGCACGGAGAACTAATCAACAGTAACCATTAAAATATCGTTTTTAACAATTCACTCTTAGCATGCCTATATCAAAACACAGCAACGTGAAGTGGACTAGCTATTTAAAAACATGCCAAATCAATTAATTGTTGATGTTACAAATCACCTTGATGTTCAATGTAAATTACTACCGATGCGGTAATAAAAAGCCTTCGAACTGAAGCAAGATCCCCGTGTAAGTTGATCTATTAAACAGCCATTCGCCTGACGCACTCCATAATAGCCTAAGTTTAGCATGAACTTTAATCCAAAAGGCCAGAATCTCGACGCCAAAATACGTAAAAACCTAGATGCGTATATCGTACATCTACAATATCCACCAAACACCAGTTATCTGGATGCACCACTGAAGTCCATCCAAAATTACGACAAGGACAAGGAACTTGGTGAGGCTATCTGCTGTCATAGGTATAACCGACCAAGGCACCACAGGCTACATCGGCTAAGTTATCTTGCCTAATAAAAGCTACTGAAAACAAAAAAATGTAAATGACTTAGTTGGTTATTTGAAAAAGAAAACGCCAACAGAGGGAGGGCGTGGACTCAACTGTCCCGGTTTGTGCGTTCTGGATTCTGATGATTCGGTAAAGCATTTATGAAATAAAGTCAGGTTCTTTCCAACTCACAGCTTCGTTTAAACCATCCGGGTATCTGGTCTATACAAACTAGACGTCACAAAGATTAACCGGTTTTGATCCTAAATGAATCTTAGGCCACTGTTTTAAAGCATGAGAACTTCGTGAAGCTATGTCAAAACAAATATGCATATGGAACATTTAAGTCTTCGTTGAAAGCTACACCACTTTGTCTAGTGTCAGAGGCCCTGCGTGAAAGAACATACGGTTAATTACATCCACCGCACTCCTGAAATAGAAACACGATCTTCAATGTAACGATAGCAAGAATCTTAATCCGGCGAGTAACTTTGTTCTCAAAAACGAAAGGAACATCTAGATCCAGTCAGCGAAATCTCTTTACCACCCTGTTTGCAAAAGTAAGCAGGCAGAATTTAAGTAATTGCCATCGACGTTTTGACGCGATTCCGCAGTAATTTTAAGAAGGGCATCTTGGATGCAAAATTACATAACGGAAGTATGCTCATTAGTTGTGCTTAAGTGCGCTGAAAGGTAAAATAACGAGAATGAGCACACGAGTGTCCCCTAACAGGGAAGAAGGCCCTTCGCATCCGATTTTGCAGCACCTGAGATGAGAACATTAGTTTGGTAGAGGGGCAGCTCATTAAAGAAAGACACCGAGAAATTGTGTCAAGCCCGAATCACACACAATTTAAGCAGTTCCTTTCAATGCCTGACATTGAACTTGACTTTATAACCTAAGCGATAATCAAGCACAGGAAGCGTGCGCACCTGTTTTATATACCGCATCTTGGTTTTGGGGTCCATTGTCTTGTCGTTGATGAAATAGTTAAGAGTGTGAATTAGATGGGTCATGTTCCCCAGCACCAGAAAACGTTCCAAGTCGCAAGATTTCTAAAAAAAACAAAAACGCTATATAATGTAAGGCTTTCGCATTACTAATGGAAATGCATTTAGGTTATGACGAGTAAGTAGATGGCTCACGTATGAAAATCGAATCCGAGGTCTAAACAAGATACGTTTTGTGCAATAACGCTTCCGCTATGAAATCACTAGCTTGAACTTTCAGCCCGACTTTCTAAGTTGGCGCAGTTGATTTGAAAGCAGTGAGTACTTGCTTAATTCATATTGTCAGCACAAAGATGAGCCTAGGCATAACACACAGGGTTCGTGTTTCGTCAAAGAGAAGGCAGTATCATCGTCATAACTTGGCCGTCATCAGCACCAAGCAGGTGGAATTTCAACATGTTCGTTTCCTATACTTAAGTAAATGTAGGTAAACCTCATGACGAGAATGGACTTTGAAGAAACTCAAAAAGGCCGGAGAAACAGGGCGCGAACGCAGGACCCCAAATTTGGCCAAGGAATCAAGGGAGTGCCAGTGATAACTCCTAAATGTGTAACCCAGGAATGGAAAGGGCATTGTCAAGACACTTCGATGCAGATACTACTGATGGTAACTATCGTAGCTTGTTTTGGATTCGTTCAATCCAAAAAGTGAATGTTTACTGCGATGAAAATAAGATCATGGCGTTGCAATACAACCTGGGCGTTTCCACGAGAAGCTCCAATGGTTTCATGGCCCTCCGTTAAAAAGATCAGCTAACCACGTCTCTGGTGAATGTTTGTTAACTTTTAGCACATTCCAAGTGGTTCATATAAGATAATTTAGAGAGGCGATCACAAATCGCAAGTAGTAAATCCAACAAAATTATAATGAAATAACAAAAGGAAACAAAATTAATATTTCTTGCTTGTCAACCGTGCACTGTCAGTACCCAAAAAAATTTCACGTGAAGGCAAAATAACCTCACTCAAATTATTTACTCATGGAAGAACAGAAGCAGTTAGTTACACTTGTATTCAGTCAGTGCGTTCTTAAATAGGCTTGACTGGTCTACCAGACAAACACTTCGTGGTATTAGTTGACGTAGTACTCGAAGGGATATAACAATAATAAACGTTAACCACTTGCCGTCACCATAAAACCAAACAACGTTGCGTCGAACAAGCAAAGCGTGATGAAAGTCATCAACTTTGTCTGACCAGTGCCACTACACCAATTTACAACACATTGGATCCACCTATAATGTTACCTTGTGACAATACCGACCGGGATGAATTTGGCATTTTTTACGCCAACCAAAATGCAATCAATCTGGAATACCACAAACCTATAGCCAGAACGTTGAAATTGAAAAGGACAAGAGAATCGAGGCTCACAGTAGGTTGCTCCTGTGAGGCGTCTGACTCGTGTGTGGCCCCGGACTTGAAGTTGCAATTAACGGAACTGACTGGCCCAGCCTTGTTGTAGTAGGGACTCGTGTGAAGTCGTGCATTGAGGGGCACAAAAGAGGCTGATTCGGTGTCAGGATTAGCGTACCCAGGAGCCTGCTCGTCTTCATTCGCAGGCGAAAATGGATCGCTCCGAGTAGCCGAGACGTGTTCAAGGCGAGAGTCTACTCGACTATCACCGGGTGCGAGATGGCAGAATTCAAGGGCCTCTGACAACTGCCTAACCGACTGGAGTGGTGTAAAAAAATCACAACAGTTGAGTATTCTAAAGAATTATCAATTGAGATTGATCCTAAAGCAGCCGTCAAGGTTTGGATATATGCTTTCATGGTCTTAACAATGACATTGCAACAGTACAGAACAGTGAACGGCACAAAGTTCATTTGATAATCCGACAGGGAGTCAACATTTACCTTTGAATTTAGTGCCAATCTCTTCGAAATTGGCTTACGCTTGTCACAACACAATTGCAGAGCACTCAGTACCAGCGTATGGTTTAAGTGAGCGTGTATGAGCAGGACCTCTGACTGGGTTTACGGTGATTCCTAGTATGTGGGTGGATTTGCAGATTACACACACACACACACATGAATATGAAAGTTTGTTTAAAAATTATCAATTAATGATAATGAGTGTATCAAACGGCGAAATCAAAACAATTCCTAGTCTGACGATGGTCTATGGTATATTTTAGCAACCTCGCAGCAACATAATCTAGGGCTCAGCTGTGCACAGTCGCTACGGAATTCTCTGGCTCAAAAACAGAAGAAAGTAGATAAGTGAAAAACAAACGGCATTGGAGGCACTGACACCCATGTGTCATTCTGATTGGTGTTATTCATTGCAAGGGGGCAGGAAGACGTTCAGAGCCTACTTACAATAAAAAGGTAGGAGGAAATTAAAACTGACAACTTTACCCTTTCAGCCAACTCTTCGAAGCAAAATGGAGGTGATTTAAGGAGGGAAAGACTGTGAGGGCAGGAAAGAATAAACTCAAGTAGGGCGCAGCCTGGCGATTGGTTGGAGGTCGATGGAGTGGGGAAGAACCTTGGGGCGAACCAGGTGGCTAACTACAAAAAATGCGTAAAGATGTTGGCTATAATGGGAAGTGGGATGCAACGGATAACTGCATTATGCTAGCACAGTTCCGACTGTGTGAGATACCACCGATGTTTAGTAAAAACGAGATTATTCACCATAATCAAACTGACAAACAGTTATCAAATAGTTTGGCCTAAATATCTAATTCATGGTCATTACTGAAATTTGGTAAGAGGTGTTTCGCTCAATTCCAAAATCATCACTGATCCGAATCTTGGTCATTACATTAGACTTACTGCGCTAGGTTGAGCGTAATACAGCGTTTTCTCTGGATTAACATGGTGGGTCGCATTGATTATGACCTCCTGCGCTTGTTCAACGAAGACCTGAAGCTGAAAACGCGAATCGGGCGGAAGGAAGAGAAGAGCAAGCTGGACAGCTGTTGTGATGTTCATCCCATCTTGACACTCCCATCGATTCAAAGGAATGCTGAGACGTTTTTCGTCACTATGCGAAAGGATGAGTGTTCGTTCAGGGCACAAAGGTGTTCTATGGGAAAAGTACTTTGCTAGAAACTCACGAATTCAAGAGGCCATAAGAATCATCAACGGATTTTGACCTTTCCACCTAAAATGAGAAAGACGAAGATGCCGACACACATGTCAACGTACACATGCACACAAATATACCTTTGATGAAATAGTTAGGGATATAAATTAGGTGGGTCATGTTCCACAGTACCAGAAAGCGTTCTACTAAGTCAAAAGTTCCAGTAGATTTTCAAATTGCCATCGCCTCGAATCCGACTTATCAGTGTTGACAAAAAAGGTGCTCGCACACGAAGCAAAGTATATGCCTACTGCTCGCACACGTGTCACATGCATTTTAGTAGACTTTGAAATGGGGCTCTTAAAAACGAAAAAAAGCAAGTTTAAAAAAAAAAACACAAGGAGCCCATTAGATGAATTTCAAATGGCACCAAAAAGACGGTGCTTTAGCGCTTATTAAGGCAGCCAGGCTACAGCACAGTTTACATTTGAACACTACAGCAGAATCCTCAGCACATGGCGACACTCGCCGAGGATGAGGTACCAGATCTTCAGGACCGACCTCCCAAAGCAGGTCAATCGGTTTATTCATCTTTTAGGTTGACCCCCAGATGACTGCCCTACATGGACCGTTCTTGCACATTTTAAGATGAGGCCCTGTCAGAACTCCAATGAAGCTTTTGTCGTTAATGTGGGTGAACCCGGTTCCATGGGACGTCGATTTCGATAATTGATCGACACTGCAATTCGGCTTATAGGTGAGTGGAAAGCAGTTCAGTCAAGCAAAAACTGAACCTAACGCCGTCAAGTTATTAAATATGTCGTACATATAGGGCAAATTTTAGGGAATTAAATATCTTCCAAAACTTCAAATTTCCCTCAATAAGAACTACGATCAATGATTCTTTTGTCTTAAAATAACAAAACTCTCAAGAGTAAAACAGTACCTCGACTGCCTTTGAAGATATGGATAAGCGTGAACATTCATTTAGGAACGGTGATTCGCATTCTAAAATAGAGAAAATAGTACATACTTAAATGAATCTCATGGACACTTAGAGGGAGTAATTAGGACACAAATACTCTATTTAATAACTAGAACATATCCTGACACCCAATCTGGAAACGTTAAAGTAAAGGTCTTAAACGTACAGAACAACCGTACCGGTAAATTGTGGGTGTTTATGATGCTGGTGGGTTTTGTTGATTGGAGTTAGAGTGAACAGACGGGATTCATCAATGAAAGGTATAGAAGCGTCCACTTTATCCATTATCGGTTGATTTGATGCAAGGCTGTCAACTAGATTTTCTTTGGAGTCGTACAGATCTAATTAAAGGGCAGATTTAAGGTTTTTATATGCACCTACTTAGTATAAACTCAATTAGATGTAAAACGTGCTCCTGAGTAGACTGTGATAGAATGGGGAAGCCGTCAGTTGCCGAAGAGAGAAAATCCTCTATTAGGTTGCTTGATTCATCCAGCAACTGCCTTCTGTTGGTTTTTGTTGGCCCTAAAGACCAACTAAATAGCTTACAAAATACTTACAGCTCGCAAGTGCTCCTAGGAGCGCAAGTGCAAATGGCTGCACTACATCAAGGATTGAAACACCTGACACAAAACCATGTTCAGTCGTCTGAGTGAGGTTAATATACGCCATTCGACCCAGGTCGACTAGGCACTGATGCTGCGGACCCGATGAAAGATGTGACTCCGATGCTGATGGTGGGGGTAGGATATCAGCAAGAAGGGCATCGAGGCTAATGCAGAGATGTCTCGCGATTCGCGACAGAACGGCAATTGAAATGCTTCGGGCAGTCTTCGGTTCCACTGGCCCAATCTTGTTAGAAAAAGCAACCTGACTGTCGGAATTATTTTTGACCATACAGGTAGTGTTCAGGGAATCATCCTCCGACAACAAAAGCACATTTAAAGATGAGGATGACTGGGCGCCTGGACTGCGAAGGAAGGCTCGATTTGTTTCATACATTGAATCATAAATGCCTTAGAATAAAAAGAGCAATAAGGAATGTGGTCAGTACCAGTATGTAAAAGTGAGCGCGGCCTTATTAACATGAAGTAGTTGACTAAGCATCCCGATATCCATTCCTCAAAAAATACGAACGCTACCACTACAGTGGATCTGAGGTGTTTTGAGATGGAACAAGAAATGCAAAAAATGAAGCACCCACAACAGCCCCATAAGCCTACTAGAACTATTCGCACAATTAGCGTAAACAAGGCAACAATTTACCTGGAAGTAGATCTAAGACCAATCTTGTTGGTGACACCAAAGTTTAAATCAAGAGAAACTTCCGATTAGCACCCAGGAATCTGACACGCCCCAAGAAGCCACCAGATCACCGTCTGTCCAAATGTTGTCAAACAGCAGCTAAAGTTGAGTGCACAAGTTTGACCAGTGTCAACAGACTTCTATATTTTTCAGTTCCCAGTACACGTTCCTTTCAGGACCACCCCAACACCTCATAGCAGCAACTGGATGATTAATTCAACTTATGTATAATGGTACAACGGCCTATCTCTGTTAACCAAAATGTGAGCCAAACGAAAAAGCGTGTAAATTTTAATTCCGGGGCTAGAATTCTTTTATTAAAAACACAATACAGATATTGTAAACCAAGCAAGGAGAATAAATTTTAGGAAACTAACATTTACCACCGGACATTGCAAATCAGATAACCCCGCCAATGCGCAACACTGAAATACTAGATAGAGTAAAACAAAACCAAAGCAAAAAATTTTAAAGATACAACTAAATTTATTAATGCTATAAGCTTGCTAAATCTGAAACCAAGAAAAAAGAGTAGCACTATATTAATCACTGTATTTTTCCAAAATTAGGATTTAAATTTACAAGTTTTCTAGTCTATTTCATTGCTCAGTGTCTGATAATTCTAGATGGAAATGAGGAATTTGATCACACAAATCACAGTGCACTTTTTGCCATCATATTACGCGTGTATATGATCAAAATTTATATTCATTGTTTTGATTTAATCGACTGCCTTTTTTTCTTTACCAGCATTCTTTATAGTCTATTTAACTGACCCCCGCATGTCTTTATTACGAGAGATCTTTAGAATCACGAACAAATTTTACGTACACTGCATAGTTTGATTTGGTTAAAAATTTCTCATATGGAGGACACTGTTTTCGCATTTCAACACTTCGTGATAAATCCAAATACTTATTTTCAAAATTTAGTACCTTATTTTATTGTGCAAATGCCCTTACGTCTACTTCTAAATCTTTTATTACCATGTGACCAAATTTTATGCATGACCGGTACTCTTCTACTCAACCAATAAATATTAGTACTCAAGACCCCATTTGTGCGTGAAACCTTAATTTTGCACATACTGGTGTCTTACTCGCCATGCAATCGGTTTAGCACACCTGTTATTCAATTTAAAAAGTTCAAAGTTTTGTAAAGAGCAGTCTATAAGCCATCATAGCAGTGTCTGAAGACATTCTGCACATAAGGAACCAAAAAATACCATTCCCATATTTTGTTAAAAGTAACCTGCTTACCTGTTAAAAAGTAAAATTCGATAAACCTAATTCAAACGTAAGCCAATTTGCCACAAAATAGCTACTGTAGTAATTATTATATTTTTACCTCATGACTACGTCTGGTTTTGGTATTTAATAGGACTGCTTCTGTGTGAGATGGGTCTAGCTCAATTTTTATGGAAACTTACTAATATTTATATAAAGTTGAAGTGGTAATTTTAAACGATTTGGTTAAACACTTGCAATGATAACTCAAGTAATAATACTTGTCGAGTACACATTTTGACAAATACAAATAAATCTTTGCATTGGTTCTCATAATTGCCTGCCACCACGTTTTTAGCATGATGGACATGACCAGATTGTGATTGCTTCTGCTTAAGTGACAGCAACTTTTGTTGTTATCTGTTGCTTGCTTATTCCTAACATACCAAGTTTTGGAATTGTCGGTTAAGGCATTACACAACACATTCGCTTTTACCTTGGCTATAGTTTAAAAAATGTATAATTACAATTTATTGCAAAGCAAGTCAGTCAAATACGTTAACAGATCATTCGTAGAAGAAGTTACGTGTCGGTATAGGCCACGTTTGTTCTAAAATATTAAAAAAAGTATTGTGCGCTTAAATGAACCAAGTTTGATCATGGCCGTTGTATTGCCAAGTAGTTGTATGGTCACGCATTTCCAGCACCATAAATTCACACAAAAAATATATTTGTGGAGGTCAAAACCACTTCTCTCAGGCTTTGTTTCATGTAATACGGCATGATGTGCATCATATACATATCCAAGTCGGATGCACCATTGACTGCATTTTATATAATGGGCCTGAATTATCATCATAAAAGCAAATGTGAATATGTGGTGAGGTTACCAGCACGTGAGCTCGCGGGTGGACAGTAAAGGCACTTCAGTATTACCCTTTTAACCATTACGTGTGGTGTTGAAAAAAATATATATTAGAAACTTAAACCCGTGCCATCGCAAGGCGTTTATTGATTAAACCTTCAGGCTAAAGCTTATAGTTAATGTTAGTTTATGCAGTCAAACAAAGGATTATATTATGCTTATGCACACACATTATGGCACATTTTATATATATGGCTAATAAGAAGCAAATATTCACCTACGATAGCGTTGACATTTGTGTCTAGTAACTTAGCGACCGGGTTCTTATCAAGCGTCTTTTACAATACAACGCATAGTTTCGCCAACACTAGTCAGTGGCAATGCTGAAAGATCGGGGTTAGCGTTAATTTGGAATATTTTGCTGAAATTGATTTACTAATAATTGATTTTAATGAAAACGTAAAGATTAAACTTAGTTGGTCTGATCGACCTTCTTTTGAATCGAGTCAGAAGTCGAAATCATATTCACACCAATGTGTTCGTGAGAAACATGCAGTTATGGGAAAATCGCCGAATTACTTTTACCTGCTTTATTGAAAAGCGTGTCTGGTTTGTCATTTCGATCGAGATATTCAACCACCGACAGGAGGCCCTCGAGTTCCGACGTTTCAGTAAAGTACCATATGTCACCTAAAAGCGTAGGTAATCACGAATTAATATTGTTGGAACCATGTTACAGAAATGATAAAGACGATGCATTAGACCTGGATTTATGTTGAGAAAAAAATTGACCTGTAGTGTATGCCGCGATATGTCCCTTGAAACACTTGACCCAATTATGAACATAATAAGTTACACTAATATTGACACGCACTTTCAAAACAGCAAGCTAGCCTTTCTCGGTGTAAGATACTTTTTCCTCCTTAATAATACGTGCAAATGTTGTAGAACGCAGAGAGTCCGATAATCCCTCATACGTACGTATAGCTGCTTTTTACATGAGTAAAAAACAGGTCGTTTAAGAGCGTCAGGACAAAATAAGACAACAGTGACTTCCGAAATGTTTTAAATGACTTAAAATTTCGCTAAAAATTCAAAGGATAAGTGTATTTCACGCTTTTGAATCTACAATTACACGGTTTCTCTACACATCTAGAATGATCAACTAAATATTAATGACATTAGTAATTTTACTATTTACAAACTTACTCAATTGTGGAACCAATTCAGGATGTTCTTCACGAAGATCATCTAGGAGTGACGCCATTCGCATCTGCAATTCACATAAAATATCGGCGGTGTATCCTGTTACTGGTTCTAGGTAGATTTGTCTCAGCAGGCTTTATATCGTGATTCGGTCGATTTAGTGAAAGTAATAAGTATGAGCATTAGTAACACAAGGAAAGTTACAACTTAACGAAACCAATGCCAAGTCTTTCGCTCTCCATAGTTCATTGTTCTAAAGCATAAGTTACTTCCATTAATCCTACCACTAATTTAAAATAGCGAATTGTGTGGTATCGGTCCGACATTATACGATCTATTGCGATCAAACTCCTCTTTTACGTATCAAATACACCAAATATAAATTAGGTAAAGCTATTTTACCCTCTATTTTCACTTAATGGCTATCAAATAAGTACCTAACTCAATTTTAGGAGGATTTGTGCTATTGATTCAAAAACGTGCTGGAGCTTTAAGAGACCTAACTCGGTGGCTGTGCCTATGACATTGTGAAATCTTTCCCAGAATCAAATTTTAAAAACTTTTACGATTAGGGATCTATTGATTTCTAATTTAAGGTTTATTCGTTACAAAATTTATGTAGAGGAAATTAAATGTCAAACCAATTGTATAAAGAAGCAAATTCCTGTGAATAAAGCATGAAATTTCAAAACAGTTGAAAAATAGAACAAGGAGTAAATAATTAGCTCTCGCTAAACCTTGCAAAACAATTCATAGTATGCAAAAAGGGGTTAAAAGTAAAGAGACAACTAATAACTGTTCGACCCGGTTATTTGGCTTGAATTTTTTTTCATAGATATTTGATGCATGAGATGGTTGAGTAAAAAAATAGATAAAAGAATCTACATATCAAATAATAATAGCAAACATCTCTTAAGTCTTACTTTATATATTTCTGGTACATACTCCTCCTGGTCCTAAAGAAATTCGGTACAACAATATAACCATAAAATTTAAAATGCGAGCAGCTTTTAACAAGCCAGATGAATTAAGCAAGTAACTTGAGACGATATAAATGACTGACATACTTTCATTGCAGAGCACACAAGATAAGAGCTTAGCTTTGTCATTTGCTGCAATAATTCGATGAGACGCTTCTCATCATCTTCAGGGTACACTTGAGGATGAATCGAATTAACCTCAACATTAAACGATTTCGTTTCAAAAGCACGAAACATTCGGGCTGGAACATTATGAAGAATACATAAAATCCTGCTTTGGATAATTGGTGCTAAATCTGGGTCCTTCACCATGAACCTTATAACTTCCGCATCGGTCGGCCGCTCATCACCACCATTGTCGTCACTAGATGATATGAGATTCACCGACGAATACGCAGCAAGAGCCTCCTTCAAAAGCTTTTCAGAAGTTGCTAAGCTTTGAAGTACGTGTAAGAGGCTTTGGATAGGTGCCTAAACGTATTAGTCATACATGTATCGCCAACCTCTAAAATCATTATCAGGAATTTTGGGTAAATCAGCAAGATCCCCGTCACGTTATACGGTGGCTGCTGTTGTGGTAACATATTACAAATAAATTCAGCCAAAATGGCAGCAATATGACATACTTGATAAGGCGTCAAAATCGGTTATATGGGGTCCAGTTTTACAAGCCACAGTCATCGAATGAATGACTTCATCCTATTATTAAAATGCATTTGAAAAGAGGTAGATTCATACACGCGCTACTGCGGCATAGGTTCCTTCAAATTCATCGTATAAATTCTTAAGTGGTCTACCGCCGCTATCCATTTCCAAGCAAATTTGCAAAGAGAAAGTGCATTAAAAATGTGGCACTCTGTAACCAATGGCAACCAAATAAAAAATTATTTTGCTTCATATTTAGTCCTGGGGTGTTCCCAAAGCTAAACCATAAAAATATTTGTACATGCCTAGTCTTTTTTTAAAAAAATGTGTAAGTAAATGTCTCCACTCAAATTTAAAAAAGCAAATTATTGAATAGAACCGAATTTTCAAATATCAGCTAAATTCGGAATTGTACGATTAATTATTCGCAAATTGTGCCTAGATTTAAAAGCAACATAAACATAAAGTTTAGGCAAAAATATTCGATTTTTAATTTCTTTGGGTACTTTTAATAGGACCGACACTAAATCAAAAGCGACATCGTTCATTTCATAAATGGCATTGCTGTCTTAAATCTAATTTAAAATTAAAATATGCTATTTGTTTAAAAACATAAATTACATCAAATATTGCAAGAAATCAATTAAGATATTTCATACTATAGGCATGCTTAATGTAGGCATGCTTAATGTTTTAGGCCCATTGAATTTTTTATGGAGATAATTTTTATTTTCTGACCAGTCCAAGTATCAGGCTTCCAGACAAAATAAAAGATATTAAGCAAGGCAGCTTTTTGCAAATAGATAAATCGAACTTGTTGCAAAAGGCCTAATGAGTGTGAGTAAGAAAGTTAATGCTTTTTATTGTAATTACCTCTTATTTGAGAGACATTGGCTATTTCACGGTCTTTTATGATATCGCTGAATTTTGTTCCAGATCTGCGATTTAAATGCCAGATTTCTTTCGAATACTTAATCGTGAAGGTCTATAACTCGAAAATTCGTTTCTTGCAAATAAAATCATCTCTCTCAAAATTTAATTTTAATTCCCTTAATTAATGTAATGCAATCTCCGCCTCCTTTTGGGGGTTTTGATATCAAAATATATAGAGTCTATATTTTACACATGGATTGGTAGCGTTCTGACTTTTAGAACATTTTTAATTCCATTCGAAATTTTTAAAATGTCCTGAATAACTGTCTAATACAATAAAAATTCAATTACATCTGTTAGGCCAGATTTTTGAAAATGAGTTTTTTGCTTAATATGTCAGCCCGGTAACTGTCTCTAAAAACTAAAGTATCGCTGATAATGGGATTGCACTGGAAAAGATCTCTGTGTTTTTACATCGTTCTACTTATTTCATGCAAGTCAGATTTTATCTTCTGTATCTTGTTGGTTGGTTGATAAATTGGCAATAACAGGAATTATTCTAAATTCTTAGTTCATGCGAGTGGTGCAAAATAGTTGCTGCCAAACATTGCTTTTACAATGCTGGCTATGTTGATACAGCAAGCAGACAATTGTCACAGAGGTTCTTTTTCATATTTTCATACTTGCTTGAAACTTTGAAATAAATTGAGTCATGTGACGTGCTTCCCGTTTGGGGCCCTAATTAGTTAGATTATTAGTGTCCAAAAACGCCAACATTGTCTAACCACCAGAGTTGACTGTACGTCCTAAAACAGAAAATTTGACGTCAGAAGGTAATTTATTCGAGTAAGGATAGACATACAGGCTGGTAAAAAAGTGAAAATTGTAAAAGGATGCAGTAAAGTAAGTTTTGTCCTGAGAACCACTGACTTGCCTCGAAGAAGGCGAAATGGAAACGGGAAACTGTTACGTTTGCCCGTAACAATAGAGAATACGACACAAATAACGGTACCAGATCCCTCGCTGAAAGCTTGAACCGACCTTCCCAGGCTAATACCAGAACAAGACCAGAGCTCGAGTATTGAGCTTTATTCACGCCAGCCACGTGCAGAGAAGACGTGGAATCGAAAGTAATTTTAAAACTAATTTAAATCAAGGTTGACCTTGACCTGATAAAAGCATAACAAAACAAATGTTAATTAAATTAATGTAAATAAAATCAGAAACCTATCTTGAGGAATCGTGTATCCCCAACACCTCTCCTCCTTAAAAGTTAATAACGCTTCTTCTTGGGGTCGAATTGGAGTACTCTTGGTTTCTGTCGTTTTCGGATACTCTGCCCAGGGGGTGAAGACCTTTCTGCAGATAGTTGATCTCTGTTGGTCTTCACTAGCGTGGCTACTGGTGGCGGCAGCTGAAAAGTGTCGAAAAGTACATCCTGTGGGATGCTGGTCTGGCGATTTGCTGTCGCAGATACTTTTCTCAATCGGAGTTGGTTTCGATGCCTTGACCACGTGTCGCGACCCACCGTCACGTCGAACATGACCTTGCCGTGTCGGCGTGCAATGGTCCCTTTGATCCATGGGTCATGCCTTGGTCGATAGTCACGAGCGCACACGGCTGTCCCGATTTCAAATGGCGTGGTGGGTTTTGTACTCGAAGGCTCCGGGCGGTTTTCCTGTACCGGAATCATTGCGGAATTTGTTGTCCGCAATTTGCGACCCATGAGTGCCTCAGATGGCGACTGTCGGTTTGGTAGAACGTCGTTCGGTGTTGTACGATACATCGACAGAAAATTCTGCAGACTTTCAACCGAATTCCTTTCTTCCCCACGGGATTTTAGCAGGGCTCGCTTCAATGTGTCGACGAACCTTTCCGCTTGTCCGTTGGACTGTGGGTAGTCGAGTAGGGAACGCATGTGTGTAATAGCATGCTGTTGACAGAACTCCTTGAATTATTGAGATGTGAACTGGGATCCGTTGTCTGAGACAATAATTTCCGGAATCCCATGGCGGCTGAAAATCTGAGAGAGAACCTGTAATGTTCTCGTTGTTGTGGGGGAAATCATTTGGACAATCTCTGGCCATTTTGAGTGGGCATCCACCAGCACAAGGTACGAGACTCCGTTGATCGGTCCAGCAAAATCGATATGAATCCGTGACCAGGGTTTTTGTGGTTGTTGCCAATGAACTGAAGGAACCTAGGGAGGATTCTTGGCAGCCTGCTGGCATTGGCGGCAACTCTTGACTAGGTCTGCGATTTGCTGATCCATATTTGGCCAGTAAGCGTAGCTGCGGGCGATAGACTTCATGCGACCTATGCCGGGATGACC